CAAAAAAATAAAATCTAAAAATAAAAGGAAATCAAATTAAAAAGAAACAAATAAATTAATTGAAAAAAAGAAAAAATACAAAAATTAAGTTTCTAAGTAAATGAAATTTAAAAAAATAGTTTTCTTTAAAAAAGTCTAAACTTTAAAGGTAAATTTAACGAAAAAAAAGTTAATTAAAGAAAAGGAAAAAATAAATTTGTAATTTTTTAAAACTTAAATGAAATTAATCTTTAAAATAATAAAATCTTAAAACTACAATAAAAAAATAATAAAAATAAAAACAAATAAAGGAAGTTAAAAAATATGTATGTATGTTTCTTTTTAAAACAATAAAATCGAAAATTAAAAAAACGAAAATCAAATTAAAACGAAAAAAATTAATTAATTGAAAAAAGCGAAAAATACAAGAAATAGGTTTCTAAGTAAATGAAATTTAAAAATCGTTTTCTTTAGAAAAAGCCTCAAATTAAAAAGAAATTTAATGAAAAAAAAATTTATTAAACAAAAGAAAAAATAAATTTGTAATCTTCTAAAACTTAAATGAAATTAATTTTTGAAATAATAAAGTCTTAAAATTACACTAAAAGAAAAAAAAATAATAACAAATAAATGAAGTTAAAAAATATGTATGTATGTATGTTTCTTTTTAAAACAATATCGAAAAACTAATGAACAACATAACTGGAGCTCACTCTTTGATGCGAAACTGTGTGCGTTTGAGTGAAAGTGCGAAAATCGGCAGTTTTTTACAACCAACATATGGCACCGTTATGGCGTCGTTTCGCACAAATGCACAACAAAGCATAAAACAGTGAACTGCCTCATTAAAAAAAAAAAAAAATAAAATAAAAAAGTTCGCTACGCGAAGATCCAATATTCGCAACGATATTTCTTGCCGGAAAAAGTGGTACAGTCCGCCACTAGTTGCATTTCCTTCAAGAGTTTTAGATAAGTGATATTTTTTTAATAGCATCTTTCAGTTAACATTTCCTAAAATAGTCTCTGAGAAGGGGGTAAAAGTCGCACGTAATTTTAGAAAATGGCCAAAGTTTCACCATGAAAGTTGGCATGGGAGCTTTTGTTTGCAAGACCTTCTTGCCAGAATAAACCAAATCTTTCAAACTATCTTGCCTACTGCCTTTAAATTGGCTTCCAAAAGCCTTACAACTATCTTAGCCAGAATTGCCTTGCAAGCTGGAAGTCAATCACTGTTAACCAACGTAAATAGTACATGCAGAAAATATTTCTCAAAATTAATGATCTTACTAACATTTGCACCTTCCATCTATTCGCATCAGTTCATACAGTCTCGTTTGAGCCCTCCAGCTACCGTTTGTCACTCACATCCACAGTATTGCACTAAATGAGTAGTTAAAACATCAATCAATGGTCAATCAATTTTGTCCACCGATTCGCTTCTGCTGTAGCGCCTCACCGAATGTTTAAGGTTTACCGGCTACATGTTTACAAAATTTATATGTATGTCATTGTGTGTGGAAATGTCAACTTCTGAGTTGCAGTGAGTTGAAGGCAGTGAATCGAGTGAGGCATGAACAATGCAATCACAATTGAAATGGTGGGTAAGAACGACGGGCAAAACTTTTTGATGAACAGATTTACGTTTCACACACGCGGATAGGCCAATTAAGCTGTTTGCAAAAGCAAAGCTTTAATTACCATTTGGCCAACTTAGCGACCAGCGTATACAATATCATTAAATTTTCTTATTTTTGCATGTTTAAATTTTTTCCCAAATATAACCGGTCATAATAACCATTGCCTCAAATAAAAGGGGCTCATATTTAAAGTGTTTGTATCACAATCATTCTTTCTTAACTAATATTTCCATCATCAATCAATGACCAATCGATTTCACCGAATCCATTGGTGTTTCTCACTTAGTGTTCGATGCCTAGATGAGCCGCTCAACTATACAACCTTCAACTATGCGTTTACTAACTAAATTGAAACATCAGTGGTAGAGTGAATGTCAACCGTTGGCAGGTCAAAAGGGTCAATTGATTGAGGAATTGACGCAATTGCTACCATTCGCACGAGCAACTAATGATGTTGTTGGTGTACGAGAAGTTTATGGCGGTTGCCAAGCACGAGTGTGTTTGTGCTTGGCATGTTGAGTGTATGTAGATCCCTGGTTCGATGCCTACTCAAAGAGACGAGAAATTTGTTTCCCAAATTTTTCTTTTTGTTAGGGAAATACATCCAAATGCTGGAGCAGCATTTCTGCAACAAAGGGAAAATTAAAAAAAATTTCATTTACGTTTTCATAGCAAGTTTTTTCTTCAGATTTTGTTCGGCGCAAGAAGCTTGGCCTAAATGTCTTTCAATTTAAATACGTTCATCAGTTTATTTCTAAAACTATTAAGAAATGTATTTGGATAAATTTTCGATGTGCACATGTACAATTCGCATACCCGAACAAGCCAATTAAGTTGTTTGGTAAAAGTTTTAATTATATTTTGGTCAAGTTTACCGATCTGTGTAAACAATACGAGAAAATGCTCATGCATAAATGCAGCTTGAAAGACAATGCTTTGCTTAAAGTTTAACTAAGTACAGATATATGTATGTAACTAGGAAGGTATGTACGTACGCAGGCACACGTGCGAAAGCTCCTAGCCAATAGATAAAATGGCGTATAAAAGCGCACTGATTGATGATTTTCCGGTGAAAGTGCGAAAACTTTGTGAAAGGTTCAGACAACAAGTGGATAGAGGCTACGGTAGAGTAAGCGACTAACGGAAGAATAATTATTAGATAAAAGCTACATATTGAGTTGCTTTGTGCGTTTAGATAAAGAGCTATTAAATGCTTATTGCTGATGAAATATAATTTGAAGAATGTAATATTTTGAATAGATCGAAAAGGGGTAGACTACCTGGCAACCCTGAGAAAATATTACGCAAGTGAAATTCTTATGTGGAAAGCTTGGTTTGGTATATGGCATAAGAAAACGTTGATTGATTGATTGATTTCTTCAGGTTTTAGGAGATCTAGACTTTAGAAGTTTCGTGCTAGCTCATCTGCCATTTCGCTGCCATGGATGTTGCGGTGACCGGCACCTAGAACAGAGGAACGCGATACTGCATATCTTACAGGGCTTAATATAACAATATCGCATTTTAGAACACTTTTTTTGTGCTAGCTGGCTGTTTGAAAAATAGCAAGATTAGTCCTGCGTTGGTTATAGGCTATGCTATTTTTATACATCGCAGTATCTGGTGAGCCCAATGAACTTTCGATACCCAGGACTACTACTCTAGTTGATTTGCCTTTTTAACGGGGACTAGACGGTACAAGTTTTTTCCCAGCCAAACTTTTGGGTAGAAATATTCTGCTTTCCCATTTATCCATGACTTGTTGAATAACGGCCACTGTAGACGAGTTAGAGATGCATACTACCACGCTGACGAACCTATGTTCGATGCCTGGTACGAGCAATATTTCAAATTAGAAAAAGTCGTCGCCCTTTGTCAGATCTCCGAGTATATTAATGTCACGAAAAAGTTTGTCATAAAACTATATTTTCCGTTCGGAGGCAGCGTAAATTTGCGATTCATTCATTTGTGTTATAGCATTAGGGCGCACATCACAAATTGGATGAGAAGCTCGGCCAAATATTTAGCAATAGTGTAAGCGCCAATTTGTTTTTTTTAAATTTTTGTTTTCTCTTGGCTTACTTTAATATACGTAGATCTATAATATTTATTTCCAATTTATTTCCGATGCCCTTAACCTCAAGCCACGTTTTTAAGAAGCTTCTTTGATAAATTGATTGATTGGTTTTAGGGCCAATTTCAGATCAGAAAATTAAATGGCATTTATGTAAGTTAATTTTGAATTCAATTTTGAATTCGTATTCAAACTCAGATTTACGTTTTCCTCATTTAAATAGCCAACATTGGGAGTTTAAATACGGTTGAAATATTTGATCCGAACACTGCAACAAAGAACGTTCGGAAATGCATGATCAGACTTTTTTTTCGAATAACATAGCAAAAAAAAAAAAAATTATCATCAAGTGCACCCTGCGAATTTGCAGCCCTCCTTCCTTCCGAACCCCAGTCGAAAACTTTTGTTTTTTTTCCGCCATTTGTGGGCCATTGACGTTAATATTAGGAAAAGCAGACTAGATTTACTCCGGATTTTGAAAAATTTTGAAATCTACTCCTCTACTTCACTTCATTTCAAATCTACTCCGTTTTTTCACTCATGTTCTGCCCTTCTTAGGCCACCTATTTCACAGTTAACTTACGGGTTTCATTAAAAAAAATTGAAAGTTAGGTTAGTTAAAATATCGCTGATGAAAAGATGTAGAACTTAGCGGATGAAAACTTTACTTTATTTTACTAACTCGTTTAAAAATAAACGTATAAGGAAATTTACATAAAGTAGAAAAGGTTCAGCACCTAATGCTTTTTTAAAAAAAGGCCTGTTAGATATATTCTAGTTTACAGAAAGTATTAAAAACTACCTAAATATGTAAATTTTATCCTTACATTGCCTTGCGTTCTTATTTTGAATTTTTGATTCTCTCAAAAGCGAAAATAAAAAATGCAAATCTGTTACGGAATTTAGTTTTGCTCAGATTTTTTAAACGATTTAGCCCTGAATCGAGTTTCACGGGTGCGAACACTGTTTACCACATTTGTACTATTTTGTAGACCTCAAACCGCGTTGTGGACAGCTATGGTTAGTGATTAACTACAATTTGTGATGGTTTACTTTTTTATTTGGGACATGATCTCTGTTAGCATGATCTAATTGCCGTAAGAAATAATTGAGCAAATCATCGTCTTGTAAATCCCGGCTACGATCAATTGCAATCCCTATGGATATCAGCGTAAGTTTTTTTTATCAAGGGTTCGACGTTTAGCCTCTAGGTTTGATTAGGTGTTTGGTACTAGGCGATATGGATAGAATCCGATAATTTTGTAGTATGGTTGAAACAATACACCTTCTTTTTATTTGTAAACCAAAAACTCCATCAATGCAGTGTTAAATTGAATTCAGCAAATATTATCACCTCGGTAACCCAGTTATCAAATCGGCCACTATGCGCTACTTACCCTCAAGCTACCACCGGCCTTTACTGCCAAATGGCCAATATCCTCCCATCGATTGGCAACTATATGGCTATATGGGTGCGTGTTGCTGGCCACCAGCCATAAACATTTCGAAATGGCGTTATATCGTAGATACAGTTATGATAATGTGCCAATTTATATCCGAGTGTTCGGTGCTGTTTGGTGAAATGCAACTCATGTGTGCAAGCCTCGATGACATCAGTTTTGTCTGTGCCATATTGGCGCCATTTCTAATACTTTTCGAAATGATGTTACGCGCCTATAACATAATTTACAAGCGTGCTAGCTTTAGAGTGCATCTAGAAGAATTCTACAAGAAGATCTACATTGAACGGTAATATACACGTTAGACTCTCTGAAGAAAAAAAATCTCTGCAACACTAATACATTTTCTTCTAATACCACGCTTCCTATGCAGTTCTTGGAACCCCGAACTCTTTGAGCAGATACGCCGACAGCAGCTACCCACGAAATATTCCACATCGACATACATTATCACACTTGTGACCTACTTTTATGTACCAATTATGGGTTTGATACATCAACAACGCTTACTACCCTTTCCGGTCATTTATAAATATGATTATAAAGCTACCTTTGTGGGCTATCTTTTATTTCTCGCCATGGCATTGTGGACTGGCTTTGCGGTTGTGGGACCTTTGATAGCCGAGGCCAATATGCTGGCCATGCAGATTTTACATTTGAATGCACGTTATACATTGTTGTTGCGGGATTTGCGCAAAATTTCTCAAAATGCTATAGAGGGGCACGCCATGCACAAGGGCGAGGGGGAAAATGCTACGGTGACCAGCCGCTTTCGCTATGGGTTAATTGATGTCGTTCGCCGCAATGTGGAATTGAATAAATTCGCCGAGTCGCTGCAGGAGCAATACTCCTTTCGTGTTTTTGTAATGATGGCTTTGAGCGCAACGCTGTTGTGCGTATTGGGGTTTCTGACAGCAACGGTGAGTGTTTAAGGGCTGCGAGTGAGTTGGAGTTGTGAGTTATTTGCATTTTCAGATTGGATTGTCAACGGATAATATCAGGTTTGTTACCTGGATAATTGGCAAGGTGATCGAATTGCTAATCTTTGGACGCTTGGGCACAACGCTCTCTACCACGGTAAGTATAGTACTCTAAGCTCAATTTGAGATCTTTGTGAAATTTTCTCTTCTAATTTTTCAACTCAATCATTACTTTTGCTATACTTAGACAAATGAGCTGAGCACTTCTTATTACTCTTGCGGTTGGGAGGATGTCATACTTCACTCCACGGACGCTGTCGAAAATGCAAAGTTAATGAAGCTTATGGCACTGGCAATACATTTGAATAGCAATCCATTTCGATTGAGTGGTCTCGCCTTCTTCTATGTTAACTATGAGGTGGTGGTGTCGGTGAGTTGAAATTGGGCGGGCTGAGCGAAGATTCTTTGTACTAAAAATAATTTTGAAAATCGACTGTTTCAGATTCTAAGAGGCGCAGGTTCTTACTTTACTGTTATTTACGCCTACCGTTAAACTGAACGAGTGACTGAGACAAAGGAGAGAATTACTGATGAGGCTGAGAAAGATGGGCGAAGGAAAAGACAAAAATCTACAGCTTTCGTAGAAATAAGTACATAGTAGAAATTATGAACAAAAAGAAAAAAATGTAGCAGGAATGTAGTAGTTATTCATTCGGAAAGAAGTACTAAAGTAGATTTAAATCACACAAGGAGTATAATATAACTAGAAATAGATATATGCACAAAATATGGCAAAGCGGGTAATATTGAGTACGTGACTTATAATTTTGGCAATTTGAATTTAGAAGAATAACGGCTGTCGAATGAAAAAGTAATTAAGTAAGAAATTATTCAAGTTTATTAGGGTTAGGTTAGGTAAGCTGGCCATTCACTGCGTGACTTCGCAGAAAACGTTAAGGTCCTAATCATTGCATACCAGGATCAATCTTGAAGAACATCGCAGTCCTCTTGGCGGTGGCTTTCGGATTAGGTAGAAAACCCCCAGCAGATAAACACGCAGTCTGCTTGCTCAGTCCTCTTTCGTTCTGTATCTTCTACAGATGTTATCATTGATCAGAGCCAGTTTAAAGGTGTGCGGTGGCAGCAGGCAATTTGCCTTTAGAACACCCACCAGTAGCATAGCGTCCTCCCTCTTGAGGGAAAGGAGAAAACTTCGTGAGCTTCATCCATACGCTCCGTTCTTATTACTGGACACCTTGCAGTCTAGCGTTTTGTTCCACGCCCTCTGTGCCTTCTAGATCATGGACAGTTCGAGTTCCCGTTTAATCGCTTGTAGGTAAATTGGTACCTCCTCTATCAGTAGGTTTTCGCACAAATCGGCCTCTTTGGACAAGCCTTTGGGGGATCTTCGTTGCCCGCGACGCCTGTGTGCCCCGGAACCCAGTACAGATGTACTTAAATATTGGTATGTAGCAAATCCAGGGCTTTCCTGCACTCCGCCACACTTATAGTGGAAGTGCTGTGCGATAATAGCATCTTTATCGCTGCCTGACTGTCGATATAGAGATGTACCTGCTCTCCTTATGGCCAATGCCTTCGCTGGCAAATACTGTAGTAGTTTGGCAGCTTATAGCGTTTGTCGAGGCCGAGCCCCGCAAATACGACTGTCATTCTTCCACATCTTTTATCCGTCTGTATAGACATGCACCGAGCCAGCACTCTTCAAGCATTCACGCCAGCATTCGACCTCTATTGGAACCTCGAAGTTCGTTCCAAAGTGCATATTCGGGATTACATAGTCAATCCGTTCGAATAAAGTTGACGCTATACTACGGTGACCGTAAGACCTGGACGCAAACTGACCCTATATTCATTACACTATATTCCTGGCCGATATGTCCGCCGGCAAGAGATGCAGCAAGATATAAAGTGCTGAAGCTGGTGCAGTTCTGAGTGCCCCTATCAAGCCGATCAATAGATTTCCTTAGGTTTCCTGTTAAGCACAACAATCCCAAAAATCGATAGCCAAACTCACGGACCCATATACAACGGTAAAAGAAAACACAGATCTAGCTATCGTTGAGATTACTAAAGGCCAAATCGCATGTGGATTACTTCAACGGCGACTTCTGCGGTCGTCGAAAAATTTCAATCCAACCACTTTTTTTTGTGGTTCAATTAACGAAATATTGGGAACAAATTCTGTGGCTATGGCATAATCGACAAAGAATCTGCCAGAAAATCTGAGCTACCGGGTTTACATCACATTACGGGAAAATGGCTTTTTCTTTTTTAATTTTTAGAAAATCGGCTAGTCATTTATTTCTGCAGGCTCCCAAAGCCGTTGCTGCCACTAACTAACTCACGTACTACGAAGGTTTTATTATATTATAAGAAAACAATTGCGGCATTGAGTGAATCACTTTTATATGGAACAACATCATCAATATCAGCAATATACTTATTTGGGCGTGTGTGGGCGGCAACAAAAAAAAAACTTGCCAAACACGCAAGAATATTAGCAAATGTGCGATTGTGTTGAAACATATTTGTGTTGTTTTTGTTGCTGTTGTTGTTGTTATTATTATGGTAGCTATTATTGTAGCGAGTTCATAACATCAATATTATGTGCTGCATCGATTGAGACTCAAATACAAACATATTTATTTAAGTACACTGCGTATCATAATTATAAGCGCACCACATATTGACAAGTTTTAGCAAGTGATGAATTTATTTTGTTGATGGTGTGGCTCATTTTCTTTCATATGAAAAGAAATCATCGGAGGAAAATTCACAACACCTTCAGCAAAAAAAAAAAAAAAGCAAAAAATTTACGGTCAGCGCTACTTCAAATAAGCGTTTAATGGGCTAAATCTGAATACTCAAATTGAAATAACGAAAAATGTGGGCCATTTAAAAAATGCCATGTGGAGACAAATTTAATAAAAATTTTTTAATGCCCAACTTTGTCATTAAAATTTGTCTTATTTAATATGGAAATTCGGCATAAGAAATCTATTTAAAAAGCTCGCAAATTTTACGAAAGTTTATTGATTTTTTTTAAGTATTGCACAAATTTCAAACTTGGATTCATGCGGTTTTTGTTCAAGAATAATTTTTTATATAAAATATCTAAAGCTAAATAACAAGAGAATAAACATTACATAATTGTCCATATGTGGTGCGCTTATATTTGTGGCACGGGGTGTAGATTGGCGTGCATGTGGGCACATGCATGTGTGTATGTGAATTTGTGTGGGTAGTAGACATGAAGCCACAAAAAACCCTCGAACTGTGAAAACCTGCACGCGTGCAAAAGTGTTTATTGAGTTGCACACGTACACATTTGTGGCCAATTGGGTAGCAGGCGTGTGCTTGTGAGCAGCCGCCACCCCCAACTCTTCTAATACCCACTCGGGCCAAATCACTTAAGGCATTTGGATGAAGCAAAGCATAATTTATAGCTATTTGCCAAAGGTTTTGTTTTATAAGTTAGGTTTTGTAGGTAGAATTAGAAGGGTAAATTGTTTAAAGTGGGGCTGAGGAAATTCACGCGATCAGACTAACGCTGCACGATTTCGATGAGAGCATAGCAAGTATGGTTGTATGCGACTGACCAAAAACTAAATGTGGTCGCGGAAAGTATTTGACCGAGCGCTGCCGGAGCTCCCTGGACCAGTGGACTAATGCACCTCCACTGCAATTATAGCTAGAATGAGAAATTATAGAAAGGGGCGCTGTAGGATGGCTCAAAGCGAGAGCTGGTGAAAATGTATATTCTAAGCATCTTCAGCTTTTGCCTTCCTGACCACTGTTGTGTTTATCAGACGGTAGTTATAGCAGTCGACAAGGCCACAGCACTGGTAAGGTACGATACGATATACAGTTATGATGTCTACATTTTCCCACATAAAATATTTAATCGGCAACCTCCATGGTGGAAATTTCGTACTTCTATATTGTGGGTCCCTGACGATTCTGAAGAATTGACATAGAGGAAATTCGTAAGCCGAAGAACTGGCGTAACTCGGTACAAAGCTTGCCGGAAAAGGGCACATGAAATAGGTATACCCCACCCTGTAAATTCCTGATCGCTGAAATTTGGACAACTTGTGGATCCAAGTGTTAAATCTGAGCATTAAGGCGTATCACGAAAAAAAAATTTAGCGTGTGTCAGTTTTAGTTGAATACTTTTGTTGGGTGTAAATGTTTTTTATAAAACCGCTAAATCGCGTTTTTCGCTATAACTTTCTTATTTGCTATACGATTTTTTAAATTTTATGTCACCGAAAAGGCCTCGCTCAGGACTATAATTGAATAAAGCCTAATCCTTTTTAGCAAGGTCGTCATCGTTTTTTGATGGATGTACTTTCGATCGCGTTTATTTTGATGTACTTATGTATATATTATGGTGACTCAAAAAAGTGTTCACGTGTTGATTTTTTTATTTAAATATTCTATATATTTAATATATTTATATAATAATATATATTTTTTTATAAAAGTATAAAAAAAATTTTTCAAACCTATAAAAAATTTTGGAAAAAATCATCAAATTTTCATTAATATTTTGAACTTTTTTAATACATATGACTCTTTAGAACTTTTTTGGGTATGCAGTTTTATAGCTCATACAATTTTAGTATAACAAAGTGACAGTCAGGAGAAGTATTAAAGTATTAAAAATCAAAGCAATTGAAACTTGCACTTTATTTTAACAAAATTTTATGAGCTTTCTTTGAATTTCAGACAAAGCGATGTTTGGCCTCGATGCATCCAGTATTCATACATCGAGTGGAAAATTTTCGATGCATCGAAGCAAAACATCGATATTTTCGATGTATCGATGTTTCTTCGACATCCCTACCGCCATCTGGTAAACAGATGCCTCGCCACGCTTAGTCCAATCTCGACCTAGAATTATATATTTATAAGTATTCATCCTTGAGTCTTCTTAAATTGTTTTTGCAAGGCAATTTCGAAAAAAAATAATAATTTCCTTTGGTTGACCGTAGGTAGGGGTCGCCTTTTTACATTTTTCGTTTTATCTTCGGATCTTAAAGTATGATTTCTCGAGTTTCTTGTCTTGAGGGAAATAGTGTTTTTGTTTTAAATCTCGTTGACCTCAAGTACCCCGTTCTAGTACTTACACACCAGATCTCAGTTCTTGTCATCCTAATTGTTTTGTTAAGGGAATATTTGTATTATTCCAGAAGAACATTTTTCTTCTTTTCTTTTTTTTGCCTTGTAAATATACTGCAGACTCAGAGGTGTACGGCGGTTGTTTTTTTGAAAACTTGTAAGGTGGTACGGTCTAATATGCGTGTATGTATGTACTTATATTGCTTAAAGCGTAGTCGGTTTAATTTAATCAAGTTAATAAATATTCTAGAAAAAATTGGTTGGTAACACTGTCTACATTAACACTCCCACTTTTTTCCCCGCACAGGTGGTTCTCAATCACTTGATAGCTTGTTGCTCAAAGTTTAGGCAATTGATTGATGTGGCGCGCAAGTGCATAACAAGGTGAACATGAGCGTTATCGGGAAAGAAAAAGGTAGAGGGAGTAGCATGTAGCTCACAAAGTACTACGCTCGTTTATGCATTATATACCTTATTTTTTCCATCCCTTTATTCACCACGCAACGCTAATCGAAAGTGGATAAAGTTTATCATTTTTGAGGTTATAAATAAGTTGATAACGTGTATTACAGCACTGGCATACGAAATGAGGAGCA